AGTGGATGCAAGCTGCCTGCTGTGGGCTTGTGGCTGTTGATCCTGCTGCCTTTTGCTCCCGGAGCCACACACTGGCTGCATGCTCCCGCTTACCCTGCAGCAGTGGCGAGTTGCGTCTCCCGCTGCCAGGTGGGCTGGGGATGTGGCATAGCCAGCATGTGGTTCCTGGGGCAAAAGGCAGCAGGGCAGACAACCCCGAGCCTGCAGCGGGCAGCCCGCCTCCGCCCTCACCCAGCTCACCTCCGCTCCTAAAAGCAGTCTCACACTTAAAAATGGTGGCAGCAGTGCTTGAACTAAAGCTCATTTAATGAGCTTTAGTTCAAACGCCGCCACCACCATTAAGAGCCAGGACGCTGATCCCCTGGACAAACTGGCTGCGGCTCTAGTTCACTCCCCACTCCAGCATCCCATTCACCACCCTGGCTGGACAGCTCCCCCATCCCCAGCTCCAGCCCCTGCCCCACTCCCTTCCTCACCATGGGGGCCTTGATCTGCTCCCTCCACACTCCTTCCTTCCCCCTCCCCTCTTCTTACCTGCAAGAAGGGTGCTGCTCTACACGCTGCTGGGCTGTGCACTCCTGTAAGTTGGTTATCAGATCAGTATTAGCTGATATGCCTAGTGAAGAATAGGCTATCGGTATCTGCCAAGAAAATCTCTATTGGTCCTCTCCTATATGTTTTATATTTTAATACATTAAACATCAATTATCACAATTAAAACTAGCCAACTGCCCATCAAGAATGATTGCGGCGGGGGGGATGACAACACCACAGAGGCCAGGGCCTGTGATCACAGCGGCATTTGCCGTAGCAGCAGGGCGCAGCCCCCAGTAACCCCCACCCACTATCTGCTCCCCTCCTTCTCCAGCTCCCTGCCACCTCCCCACCCTGCTGGCTGTAGTTGGGAGGTGGGGGTTCCAGCTCCTGGTTCCAAGAAGCAGACCCCCACTCCATCACCTCTGTTATGGCAGTGCTCCAGTCCCCATCATCACCCTCTGCCCTCCCCTCCGGCCCCTCAGTTCCCACGGTCATGGCGGCGCTCTGTTGTCTGTCCCTGTCTATGTAGGACACTTTGACTGGCTGCTGAGACAGCCAATCTGAGCGTGAATAAAGCATTAAGGACGGACAGACAGACAGACTTAGGTTTTTATAATATTAGAATTAAATCCACCATTACATAATTTCTGCCATGTACCCCCACAGTTTGAGAACCCCTGCCTTAGACGAAAGATAGTCAAGTGATTTAGACTTTGGTTCTCTGTCATATACCATTTTTCTTTCTAAAGGATCTCCTCTGCACTTTTTGTGCACTAACTACGTGTAGCCAATACTATACAATTTGAAGACTATCCTACTATTTGAAGATTAAAATTAAAGCTATTACTGTTTATTTAGTTCTTGTCATCCATCTAGCAGCGTTAGTGGCATTTATCCACAGAAAGAGACAAGCCAAGATTCCTACACTCTGTTTTAACAATATAGCTGAATTGAAAACTGCTTTCGCACCCTTGTTAGCACACCTATAATAATTTATCTCTTCAAAGCATTTTACGTATTAGTAACCTATCAATCTTCTTGACACCTGTGGGACAAGTAAATATTATTTCAGTTTGCAGATGGAGATATAGAAGGCAGAGATGTTAAGTGACCTGCAGTAGGCCAAAATTAGAAAATCAGAGGAAACTTTAGTATCAAAAGTCCCGTTTCCCAGCTTGTGTACTCAGACGATCATACCACTCCCATTTTAATAAAAGCCTTTTGTGCAATAAGGCCTGGTTTGCTAGGAAAGGAATCTTCTGTATATTTAGTGGTATTCGGTATCCCTGCATATATTGTGGGAGCTAGTGTCTTCTTAGTCTTATGCAGGCTGGCAGATGTAAACCTAATAGCTAAATGCCAAACTCCATATCCTTCAAGGAACCTAGTTTTGACCCTCTCCCAGCTTTACTGCTGAATACTTTAACTAAATTTTGTCCCAATGAAATGCAGAGAAGTTATTGTAAAAGAAATGACAAAACATGGAAGTCAGCTAACCTTACAAGACGAATGCAATTCGACTGCAGTTGGTCAACAGTGAAATAATCTAACTTGTACTGACAAGAAAAATGAGAATTTGAAAACATGGAGCAGACGGACTGGAAAGTAGATAGCAAAGTTACCTTTAGGACAGAGCAGAATAAGGCAAAGAAATTGTATAGGGGTAGAGATGGAAGGGTGATCATGGTGTATATTGTTTTTTATTAAGAACCTGGACAGATCATACATAGAGATGGAGTCCAAAGCAGCAAAACAGGGAACTGACAATCAATGAAGTCAGAGAACTGGTGCTGTTTGGAAAGGGAAGACAGAACAAATTTACAGTGGAGGAAGTAGTAGTCATGGGCTTTTCTCTGAAGGAACTGGTAGAGACAGCAGATGTGCAGAATACACTGGTACTAGAAAGGCAGTCTTAGTAGTGCAGAGAGCAGAGGAAATCTTGTACAAGAGTGTCACTGTAAGAGCGCCCAGAGCCCAGTGGGCATCAGACTAGAGGTTCCAAAAAGGCTGTGCAACCAAGAATAATATTTAAAGGAAATAAGATGGGGATAGACAAATAAAATGGAAACACTAAAAGGCCAGATCAAGAACAGCATTCAGTAAAGACAAACTCAAGCGATGGTCATTTGCTCAGCAAGACAATAAATCAAGAACACAAGGTCAAATGAGGCTGACTTGCAGGATATCAATCTGGAAACTAAAGCTGCTGAACAAAATGATAAGAAGCTGTATGTAGAGAAAAAGGCAAACCCCAAATGTTTTACAACAGAGAGAAAATCAAATGTGGACAAGTCAAACATGGAAAGATGAATATGGAGGAAAAGGGAAAGGCAGTAAGTCAAGTGACCATACCACTCAGCAGAAGTCAAGGCCAGAAGTGACAGGCAAGGGAAAGAAGTCCAACGAGCTGCCACACTGCTTCATGAATCACTTCAGAGATGGTGCAAGAAAAGAAATAGCACTGAAAGTTGCAGATACATGAAGAGATAGCACTAGAAGAAATCACTGGGATGCAAGACAGACTTGAGGAGAATGCCTCCAGACCTCGGGTTGGGGAGGACCGGGTTAGAGAGCTTCTGGAGGGGCTGGATGTGTTCAAATCAGCAGGTCCAGTTGCTCTCCACCCCAGGGTGTTGAGGGAGCTAGCAGGGGTTATTACAGGGCCCTTGGCACGGCTTTATGAGCGCTCATGGTGCTCGGGCCAGGTGCCAGATGATTGGAAGGTAGCCAATGTGGTCCCCATCTTTAAAAGAGGGAGGAGGGAGGACCCAGGCAACTATAGGCCGGTCAGTCTTACCTCAATCCTAGGGAAACTCTTTGAGATCATCATCATGGAGCACATCTGTGATGGGCCAGCCTCAGAGATGATGCTCAAGGGCAAACAGCACAGTTTCATTAGGGGGAGGTCATGTCAGACAAACCTGATTACCTTTTATGATCAGGTCACAAAAGCCTTGGCTGCAGTCTTTCTGGACTTCAGCAAGGCCTTTGACACCGTCTCCCACCCCATCCTCATTAAGAAATTGGGTGACTGTGGCACTGATGCCTACACAGTCAGATGGATTGCAGATTGGCTGAAGGGTCGTACTGAGAGGGTGGTGGTGGACAGGTCATATTCAACCTGGGGAGAAGTGGGCAGCAGAGTCCCCCAGGGCTCGGTCCTTGGGCCCACGCTGT